GCTGCTGTTGTACATGTTATTACTGTCGTCGTTCCTGCTGCTGGTGTTGTTGTTGTTGTTGCTGTAGTTGTAGTAGTAGTTGTTGTTGTTGCTGTTGCCGGTACTGTTGTTGTTGCTGTTGTTGTTACTGTTGTAGATCAATAGTATCAATAACAACGACGGTAACAACAACAACAGAAGCGCCAGCACCATCAAGATCAATAACAGCAATAACAACGACATCTAATCTAAGTCAACGACGTTGATAACGCTCTTAAATCTTGTTACTTGCACTGGTTTCCTTAGTCCAGACTATGCATTAGGAGGATACGAAGCGTTCTACCTACCTGGAAAGGAATGCTTTGACCACTACAGTAAGGAAACTTACAGAAAGTAGGTTTACCTGTAGAGTGAAAAAGTTAAAAAAAAAAACATGTTAACACATTTATTAAATAAAATGACACAAAATGCGCGTCTAGTAAAGTTATAACAAAATAACTATACAAAAACAAATGCTTGATGAGCCTGATGCCTTAGTAGCATATTTTCTATATTTGGCTTCAATTTAGTTATCTCTCGATCGATGGTTTCTAATCTGCTTCGTTCTTTTTGTAAGAAGATTGGCAACTGCACTGAAACCCCTTTCTACAAAGTATGAACATGGAAAAGCTTTCAAAAACGTTCTCGTGATACATCATAATAATAATAATAAAAAATCTTCGTATGTAATTTACATGTCTATTGCAAGAAAATATTATTAAGTACTATCTGCGCTACCAATACAAGCTATTGCCGCACGGTGTGCGAGAGAGACAGAGCTAGTGCGGGCAAAAGTTTGCGCCCAAGCAAACTGAAATCGAATTCCATTTCTCTTCATTTAGCGAAAAAATATTTCTACGGGAAATTTTAATTAATTGTGATTAATTAATTAAATTTTAAGCATTATTTGTTAATTTGGTATTTCCTTATAGACTGGAGGTCCAAAAAGGAAATTATTAGAAATGTTTACAAGCCATGTGACCGCCGAGACAACGCATCATTGCACGATTATTGGTACTGGTAACAAAAATTTCCTAAATCTTGACGTCACCAATATTAATGACTCGTTTACAATGACTAATGACAAACCGTTACGTCTACGCTCGAGATAATGTGATGGCTGATTGGTTCAAAAGTATCTCGTTAGAAATTGCACCAATCGCAGTCGGTGTAACAGAACGTTGTGTTTTAGTATAACCTTGATCTTACTATTTTAATATTTTTTAATTTTGCCGAAATTTAATGGCCAACATGACGGAAATAAAATTGCTGTTCCAAACAAAATTACTGGTTACGTGATTTGTAATCATTTGTGAAGGTTCAGGCGACTGGCCTTTCTTTCTAGGGCCAGTCCATAGTTCACAAGGTGCACAAGGTTTACATTGATACCACAGTATAGAAAATAGTAAATTAACTCCCCCTCTTTTGTGGACCACAACCCCACTGCTCTAAAAGTTCAGTAAAGGGACGCGTGGTCTATGCGCAATAGCAAGTCCACCAACAAGCCCAGCTTAGCTTTCACCTTTTGAGGTACCCCTACTTGCGCGTGATCTCTGCGTAGGCACTTAAAGCGATATAAAAAATGAAACTAGGGTCCATTTTTTATAAATAGGTTTGCTAGGCAGTGAATTTACTGTTTTATATACTGTGCTGATACTAAGTGACACTTCTAATACAGGTGAGTAATTATAAGTGGCGGCCAGTTTTTTAGGGGTAATGGTACGTAGTTCCCCTAGCAACAATATTAATGTAGGATTAAATCAAAGCAGCGTTACATAGTTATAGGGGTTCCCCGAGGTTCAGTCCTCAGCCTTCTCTAGTTTTTGATGTACACTGATGATCTGGAAAAAATATTATAGTCCATTTACGATAAGTTTGAAATGATATCACCATTTTAAATAAATAGAATAAGGATGAGAGTACACTTTTACATAATGTGTAAACATTTTATTATCAAAATACATCGGCTACCTCAGCCATCATCAGAGCTAATTCTATAAATTATTGGAATATAAAAGAGAGCTTAGTATAACTTAGCTAATTATCAGTTTCTTATTTTGGTATTATCATAATTTTTTATCAAATTTCAATAAGTTAATCTGTCAAATTTATTGAAACCCATTAACCATTTTTTAATATGTAGACGTGTTCAGACACTGTTTGTTTGTTAATCTTGTATACTTATCTATAGAAAATGTATCTACAAATTCATAATTTTAATGATTGCACAGTCAAATATAGACAGTTGTATACTGGACATTTCTATGTAACAGAACAGATTTCAATACACATCTACGGGAATAAAGAAATTTCAAGCTATAAGAATATCAAACTGAAACATTACCACAGACAACAGATTCTCCAGACATCAGTTCTATAGACAACATACATATAACAAGATGAAATAAAAATGTATTAATAGAATCCATTCTTAACGCATGGCATATTATTTCTCAGGACTCTGCAAGCTCCATTTCAAATACCCTTAAACGTCAAAAGAAATATCTTTCGTAAATGGACAATGTGTGAACAAATAATGTCGTTTTTTTTTTTCACAATTGCCTATTTTGCAGCAAACTTTCATATGGGTATAACGGATGATTTCCGTTTCAAGTACAGAGTAGCAATATATCAAACTGTCACCATCCGCCTTCACAAATGGATGAATATATCTTACTGTTTAGATAGGGAAAATATTGGGATGTCACGCAAACAATTTAAAAGTATCTCCCAAAAATAAAAGTCCTTCGTAAATTAAAGATGCGATGGCCCATATAAACATTAAAAAATCGCAACCGTTCAATTTTGTTTCTATCAATGTACAAAATGTAACACAACAATGTAACACAAACGCATTGGTCACTAAAAAGGTTATTGAAATACTTTTCCAAACAAAATTACTGGTCACGGGAACTGTATACACGGTGTTAATGAACTTATGCCAAAAAAATTATAAGGGCGAAAAACGAGGAAAAACTGAGTTACCTGATGTCACAAACTTGTATCGGAAGTTTAAGATCATAGAAAAAAAAGCTAATTAAAAATGTGTTTAAAACTGTTTTTGAATTGCTGAAATACATGTACGAGGGTGGTCTGAAAAGTTTCCGACCTAACAAAGATACAACACATTTTTTCAGATTTTTTTTGTTTATTTTCAACATAGTCTCCTTGTAACTCTTCACGCTTCTCCCAGCGATGCTCCCGTCTCTGTAACCCGTCCAAATAGTACTCGGCGTTTTTCTCTGCAAAATAATTGTTCACGAGGGTGATTGCCTCTTCATTTGACTAAAATCTCTGTCCTCCGAGCGCAAATTTTAGATGAGGGAACAAAAAGAAGTCGCTTGGGGCTAGATCTGGTGAGTAAGGCGGATGGTCAAGCAGTTCAAACCGTAATTCGTGGATTTTCGCCATGGCAACCGCTGAGGTGTGAGACGGTGCGTTGTCTTGGTGAAACAGGATTTTCTTTTTCTGCAAATGTGGCCGTTTTTCCGCAAGATCTGCCTTCAGCTTGTCAAGTAATGATGCGTAGTATGCTCCTGTAATGGTTTTTCCTTTTTGAAGATAATCGATTAAAATAACTCCATGACTATCCCAAAAAACAGTCGCCATCACTTTCCCAGACGAAAAATCAGTTTTTGCTTTTTTTGGAGCCGGTTCTCCCTTTGCAGTCCACTGTTTGGACTGTATTTTTGTTTCGGGCGTATAATGGTGTATCCAAGTTTCATCTACAGTAATTAATCGGCGCCAAAACTCGGATTTATTGCGCCTAAACTGCGCCAACAGAGTGTTGGAAATGTTCATTCGAACACGTTTTTGGCCTAACGTGAGCAAACGCGGCACCCAACGCGCGGACAGCTTTCTCATGTTTAAATTTTGATTTAATATGTGACAAACACGTTCTTTTGACATGTTCATAACCTCTGATATTTCTCTCACTTTAATTCGGTGGTCGTCTAGCACCATTTGGTGAACTTTGGCGATGTTTTCGTCGGTAGTTGCAGTTTTTGGACGTCCCGAACGTTCATCGTCTCCCAAGCTCTTACAGCCAAGTTTTAATTCAGCTGCCTAAAATTTCACTGTGGTAAATGATGGTGCAAAGTCCCCATACACAGAATCCAACTCATCTTTGATTTGCGTAGGTGTATTGCCTTTCAAAAACAAATATTTAATGACAGCTCGATACTCAATTTTGTCCATTTTCATAAAAACACTCACATCAACTCACTCAGACGACTGTTACATAACAACTGCGCATCCAAAATGGCTGAAACTTTGGTGAGTAACTGTCAACAGATGCACAACGAAATTCACTAGCTTTTATTTACGAGTGCTGCCATCTTTATGTTGAGGTCGGAAACATTTCAGACCACCCTCGTATTTTATCGCGGCGAGTACTTACAGAAAATTCTTGTTACAGATAAAGCATGATTCAGTCGAAATGGTGTACATACAACATTCACCATTGGACTATCGAAAATTCACACGAAATACGTCGCGGTGCCTTTCAGCAACAGTTTTCAGATTTTAAAATTACATTTTACTCAATACAAATCCGTGTATTTTCCACATTTTGACATAACGGATATGTGGAAAAAATATTTGACATAAGTTCATTAACACCCTGTATATTAACTATTATAATAACGACTCTTGAAAATTTTATCGTAGCAATGTTACGTTTCCGTTTTGCCAGAATATTATCATTCAGAAGATACCAATCATATTAAAAAGGTTCGAAAGTGTCTCTACCGCGTTTATTGATAATTTAATAACAAAAAAAATAACATAAACTCTATGGATTCAAGACTTTTAAACCTTATCTGTCACAGCAGATAAGTACTTATTTATTTATCTTAGATCGTAGAAATCTTAGATTTATATCAATCAAACCATTTTAAAAGGTGTTTACGTCTATCCGAGCGTCTATCTTATAAATCAGGGCAACGAATTTTTGGCACAAATAGGTTGTAAATAATACGTGGTTTATCGAATAATATTAATCATTTTATATTTAGTTAACTGATAATATAATACTCAATGAATAAATAAATAAATAAGTTGGCAAAAGTATGAAGACTCTCTGAAGTATGGAAGATCAGTCCGCGGTTTGTGGAACCTCAGCAGTAGATCTACACCCTGCCCTTTCTGGGTAGTCGCAGACATTTATACGAGGGTTGAAATCTAATCCACGTGGGCATTCCATTGTGTACGGGATCCCATTAGAACATTCGTAGAAGTTAGAGCAAGATGTCTCATGTGGGAAATATGTGGGTAGGTAACCATTCGTGGGGGGACAATTAGCTGGAATAAAAAAATGATCATATACTGTGACTTTATAATATTTCTTTAATGTCCTCCAAAATGTACTTTCCCATATTAAAGAACTAAATTATTTGCAAAAAAAAGTTTGATTGAGTTGCTTCACACTCTGTAGTCAGAAATCTTTATAAATTGGTAGATGTGCAAAGGTATGATGCAAATATAAATATCAGGACAAATTGTACTGAAAAAAAATCACCATAAATATTTTCTCAAATGATTTAGATGCACAACTGTGCAATTTTTTGATTTTTAGACTTTTGGCGTATTGTTATTTATACAAACAAAAAACATTGTCTAGAAAATTTGCAGTTATTTTTAAAATAGTGAAAAGCAGAAACCTTCATTCAAATTAGAATTACATGTTTTTATTACAAACGTTAAAACTAATATATGAAAATGTATTTTTTTATTCATCCAAAAAAAATTAAGTAAGAAGTAGGTGCTAATAAATGAAATAATGATATTAAATGTAATTGGATAGTATTAATATAAATGATCTAATTACCAAAGATTTACATTAGAATATTACAAGAAAATAATGCTTAAATTATCTATCTACTGTTACACAATGTTGAAAGATAAAAATTATAGAAATATACATATAACATGTTATATAACATTAAAAAAATCATGAAATATAAATTGATATAATTTGCATAAAATATTTAATACGAATGTGAAATATGTGAGTAAATACAATTTAAAGAACACTTTATAATAAAAGTAGGTAATTGAGAAAAAATCGAAAATATATACTTACGCAGTGCTGCCGCACATGATATGACTAATAAAACAATTAATGAAGTGTACATTTTGCACAAGTCTTAGCTAAATATTTTCACAATACAGTGTCAGTATGTATGATTCAAGCTATTTCTACACTGCTTTATATATCTGTCATTAATCTATTTCAAAGATAAGGTTTTAAGAAATGGAAAAATCGATACTACGCTCAATTTCTAGAAATTAAGGTAGGTACATACCACCTAAAGTCGACTTGGAAAAATTTTTTTCTTTCGTTTATCGAAAATAATTTTTTCATAATTTGCTGCTTCGTCACTGAGGTATTGGAACAGAAGAAAACGTTAATATATTTAACGCCTATGTGCAAGTATACTTAATTAAAATATGTGGACCAATTTGTTGCATTGCACTCTCAACACATTTTCGGTGAGTTACTTTATTAGTGAAATGTCATGCATGACCAAATCAGAACTTGAACACTATTTCTTAGAGAATAGCTTAAGATATAGTCTTCAACCCTGTATTTAAAAGAAATCTACTTTTTCAGTACGAAGTTTGGCCTATAGTTATTAAAATGTTTAACTGTAAGCGATACAAACATTTTCAGTAACTTTTGCATAAAAAATATTAGGTGAAATATTGATATTCATAATGAACGTTACTAAATTTATTATCAAAGTGCGTAATTATTGTTTGCATATTTAAATGCTACTCTTGTGAATTTAGAACATGAACCTAATAAAAAATCGCAAATTTCAGATTCTGTAACGTTTAAGTGGTAACACCACTGTATAATATTAAATTAATTTTTTTATTGATTAAAAGATACTTTGAACTTTCTACAGTAAGGGGAAAGAAGTTTATGCCCGGATTTTTTTTTTAAATTTCCAGCTTCAGGCACGGTACAGCCTAATGACTTACCTTTTGATTCTTAAGATTACCAACAGATGTCATTGATACTAACAGATATCCTTAGAATGTGTTTGTGTTCAATTAGAAGCAGTTTCAAACGAAAGTTTGTTAGCTACACTGAAAAAACTATTTTTTTCAAATGAGCAGATGTTTTAAATGGAATTATTTGCCGTAAATGTTATTTTCTTCTATTCAAATGTATATACTTTCGTCAAACTATGTGAAGTATTTGCTGTAATCTATAATTTTTCTTAGAATTTATATTATTTGTAAATATATATAATTTAATTCAAATCTTTTATAGTTTTGAAATTTATTATCTCGGACTTTAGCTACGATATCTCTTACAGTTCAACATAAACTGCAAACATATCTGTTTCAAAACTACCAGTTCCTTAAAATATATCTATATATTTAAAATTTAGTATTAATATAGGAATTATTTAAGACAAATGTAGCATATTATAATCATACTTATGTTTTCTTGAAAGAAAATTGTAGCAGGTCACAAAATGGCGTAGGTGGGAAGTTGCACGATAGATGGAGCCACTTACACTCTGTGTATACACATCTCCTTGTGAGTAACGACACTAAAGCATCTAGATCGTTCTAACGATATAATGATGATGACCATCAATAAGTTCCAAACCGACCTATGTCTGGTTGGTTAAACTTACGAATTTCAACAATTTTCTTTCTATTCACTCCAAATTTTGACTCTGCCTTTAAAATAATAACAATCCGAAGAGATGTGTGTACAGGATTTTCGATAAATTGATTTCAACATTACCTACTTATTAACAAATGATTGTCCCTTTTTTGTTGAATATTGAACTTTTTACCTCAAATGCTTTCAAATCGCATAATAAAAATTATTGTTTTCAAAATCCTCTACGTATTTCTCTAACCTTATCTACCCTACCTTATAGATTAAAAGATTTTTTTGCTTTTGCCATTTGCATTTCGTACTATTTATGAATAAAAGTTTTTTTTTGAACACCATGGTTTTACTATGGTTAATAACATCTTTGAATATTATTATCCTCTTACTTTAACTTCTATTAAAAAAAATCGTAAAAAATGCTTTATTTTAGCATTTTACAGTGGTGTTATCCCTTCATTATGATTAACTGTCTCATGTAAACAAAACGAATCTGATATGAGACAAAAGTGATAACATCCGCTTGATTATTAGATACACCGACAATATTCAGTCTAGGATAAGTGGATTATTTGTTTTGCAATTTTTTATCATTCATAAAATAAAATTTGCTTAATCCTAAGTGTGCGGTTTATAACAGTGACCTAATTATTATTTTTATGGAAGTAAATACATAATAAATTTGAATCGCTTTGCATAGTCTGTAGCAACAACGTTAACGTCGATGTTAAAATATTTTCATTTATAGACACAATAATTGATAATATTAAATACTAAATTTTGCATATTTTACTTTAATCAAGCGTTGAAACTTTTAGAAAGAAGGTACTAAGTTAATTTAAGGAAAAAACTCAAAAAATATATTCTAAGAATCTTGACAAATGAAGTCAAATAAGAATACGTACTTCGATACCAGAAATCTAGGCATAAAAAAGCTATTTCACAAGATTCCACTGTTGTTATTGAGGAATACAATACTCTATGGGCTTACACCAGCAATACCCAGTAAACACCTAGAAATAAATAACACCGACATATAAAAAAAATGGTCTTTGATTCGACTCTATAGACTTTATGTATTTTAAGGTGCTGAAAACGAATCTGAAGTCCGTTTAGCTCAAACTCCCCCAAAATTTTGAGTAATTGTCAAAAGATAGTGAAAAATCGCCGAAAATCACACGAGTGAGCTAAAAAAAAAACGAAAAAATTTGTTCTGAACATAATCAAGTGGGTTTCTTATGTATTTTCTGAAGTTTTTTGTTCTGCACCCCCCAAATTCTGCAAAAATTGCAAAAACAGCGAAAAATCGCCCAAAAAATCACGTTAGTTGCAAAAAAAATTCGAAAAATTTGTTTCTGACCTTGATCAAGTGTGTTTCTTATGTATTTTGATTGGCTGAATTCGAGTGTTCTTCTCATAAATTTTGTCGAGTCGAATTTGAATCTAAAGCTTGAGCTTCATTACCCAAAAATTTTGCAAAAATCGCAAAATATCGCAAAAAATATGAAAATTATGAATCCCAGAAAATCTTATATATAATCTTATATCATGGATATGAATTACTACAACTGAGAAATGTGTAACATCAAAGAAAGCCTGGCTCAAGTCAGTTGGATTTATTTGGAAGTAATTCATATCCATGGCATTTATTCAAGATTTTTTGGGATTCACGATTTACATTTTCTTTGCTATATTTTCAACTATAAGTATTTAGAGAGAGGAAGAGTAATATTCAAAATTTAAATAATCACTCTGCAACCTATAGTCAAAGCTTTGAAAGATACATAAATATGTATGGACATACGGCATTACTTTATTTGGATACATATTTCTTTAGTAGATTTTTACAAAAATACCTTCGGTATTTATTCATTTAACTTATGTCATAGAACGAAATTTATAAAAATAATTGGAATCAATTACATGTCAGTATTACACAATAGATTTAAAAGCAACGAAAAGTGTCCAGTTGCAAATTGAATGCATATTGAACTTGACCCTTGCACTATGTCCATCTCGCTCACTCTCTCTATAGACTGGTGGACTGACTCAGCCATTGTTCCCGATTCTTCTACCGGTTTTTTAATTCTAATGCATTCAGCATTTTGTAAAGAATATTTAAACCCCGGAAACTTGGTAAATCGGGGCCAGTCCGGAACCACTTTGAGAGCCAGTCCTGGGCCAAGAGCAAGGTTACCATTTCGTCCTCCACATGAAAAGTAATCCCTCAGAGGTGGAAGTATGTGTTTTATATAATAAAATGCAAAAACGAATTGACTTGTCTCTCTGTTTTTCTCTCTTAGCGGCTAAGCGAGTAGCTTGAGAAAATAAGACATTTTTTTACTAGTTGTTTTGGTATTCAATACGAAACGTGACAATGAATTTTGCAAAATTTTTGGGTAATGAGGCTCAACAGACTTTCGATTCAAATTCGACCCGTCAAAATTTATGAGAAGAACACTTGATCTAGAAAACCTCGTTCTAAATTTTTTCACACTTATTAATATAATTTTTTTGCCTTTTTCAGCTATTATTTTGGTGTTTTTTTTTGCAAAGTCTATAGGGGATACAGCCAATAGACTCCAAACGCGAATTCAGTTTATCAAAATATCAACAGACACTTAATCAAGGTCAGAAAACATTTTTTGAATTTTTTGCGCTCACTAACGTAATTTTTGGCGATTTTTTGCTACTTTTGGTGATTTTTCGCAATTATTTTTCGATTTTTGCTAAATTTTGGGAAGATGCAGCTTAAAAGACAGATTCAGCACATCAAAATATATAAGAAACCCACTTGCTCAAGTTCAGAACAAATTTTTTGGAAAACGTTTTTGAATGTGTTTGAATTAGTCTAATACCTCTAAAATAGAGTAAATGGTGGTAAGGGAGCTAATAATGGAATATATAAAAGAAATTTTGGATAGAATGTAATAAAATTTAAAGTCAAAGTACATTGTCTTTTATTTTCAAGAAATAATGTTAATTTCTTCTAAAAATACACAAATTAAAGTGAATAAATATAAGTACTCTTTCTAAACCAACAAGTTTTGGAATATTTCAAGATAGCATTGCTTTATATTCTTGTACAATATATTGTACTCCTTAATTTCCTTTCTAATGATGTTCTAGTTTCATGAATTTACGTATAAACAAATAAGTTAAAAAACAATAACTGATATACTAAGGCCCGGTACTTTGAGTCTCGGTTAAGGCTCGATTAACTAATCAGGCGATTAGACTGTGATTATACTTTATAAAATAAATATGTATGAGTATAGTCTAATCGCCTGATCAATTAATCAAGCTTTAACCAAGACTCGAAGTACAGGGCCTAAAAATAATAATACATCTTGAGATTAACATAAAAATATAGTAGAAAAAGTATGTAAAACATTTTTCAGTCTATGCTTAGGAACAACACAATTTCTTCGCTCCTTTCGCTGAAAGCTTTTTTATAATTTTACATAGTTTGGAACGTTTAAATATGTAAGACGTTTATAATAAAGTTATAAAGAAATGGTATAGTTATTAATATAATGAAGTAATTAGGTACTTTATACCTGTTACTTTTAAATAAAATTTTAAATAAATAATACATAGGTATTTAGCTAATCAGTTAATCCACCTTTTCTTTATTATATGAGACATAGGTACGAGTATATCATCACATATATCAAATAAAACATAGAATATCTCAAAATTTTCTTTTTAAATCGTAATAGAACTGATTATGTGTCATTTACTAGCCAATTACATTGTAACTAAAATAATTATACAAGGTGAGTTGGGAGGATCCCACTAAACTCTAGAAATTAATTCTATAAATATTAAGAAAAAACTTAAATGTTGTTATGCGATTTTCATTTATTTTCAAGTTATAGCGTAATTACAAGTTTTAAAAACTTGAGATCAGGGTATGTCATGTTCCAAGTTCAAAAGTAGGATATTTGTCAGTGTCATTTTATGTTGCAATAGTTTAACATTTGATTACACGTTCGTACGATCAAAGCGTTAAAATGCCAAGAACTTAGAGCATGCAAATATGTTGTTTGTTTATGGTTTTGGTTATGAGAATGCTAATGCTGCTGTTAAAGAATATCGTCAACGTTAAAAGTATATTTATCAGAGTTTTTCAAGCAACTGTGCGAAACTGGAAAGCTTCCCAGTGCTAGAATAACGTCTGGACGAGCTCATTGACATTGTTTAGAGAAAGTAGAAAATATTCTGGATCTTGTAGAAGATAATGCAATTACCAGCTCACGAAGAATTGCTACTCAATTGAGCATTCCACAAAAAAGAGTCATAAAAACCCTGCACGAGTTAGGCTTAGGTATATCCGTACAGAGAGTACATTACCTACAATCGAAAGATTATCGAGTTCTGTCGATGGAATAATAATCATTTTGTATCCCCCATACTTTTTACGGATGAAACAACATTCACCACCCTTGACGGTATAACTAATACGCTTGTCTGTATACACTCACTTCACAGCACTAGGTTATTGTTTGTAGGGCTGGTTAAAAAATGAAGTGTACAAAGTTAGACTGAACACTTACGGAGGTAGGTACTTATTAAAAAAGACATGCAGCAATCAGAAGAGCTAGAGACGATCTTCGTAGACGAACACAGAAAGTGTTTAGAGGTCAATGGTTGGTATTTTTGAACACAGAATACTATGAATATCAATATATACATTTTTTATTGAAATGTTCGTCATAGCTTGAAAACAAATAAAAATCGCATGACAATATTTGAATTATTTTATTATTTTGACCTGCAGAATGCATTTTTGGGGTTGGAGCGATTCTCCCGACTGTAGTATTAAAAAAGAATGGATGGCACAGTTAACATAGTTAATTTACATAAAGATTTTAAATATAATAACGATTCTTGGAAATTTATCATAGCAGTATACGTTTTATTTTCTCCAAAATATTCTCATTCAGAAGATGCCAATCATATTAAAGAGCCTCGAAAACTGTATCTAGGAACGTTTATTGAAAATTAATTAACAAAAAAAATATGTTTTCTATGGTTTCAATACTATTGCAACATTATCTGCTAGCAGATAAGTAAGTACTCATTTATTTATCTTAGATCGTAGATATCTTAGATTTATATCAATCAAAACATTTTCAATGATGTTTACGACCTTACAAATTAGGGCAACGAAATTTTGACGCTGCTTTAACAAATAGGGATGTAAATAATACCTGTTGTTTCGAGTAATATTAATCACTTTATATTTATTTATTTCAGTAACTAGTAATATTATAATACTTTACAATTTAATCGAAGAATAAATAAATAACTAATTTGGTAAAAGTGTGATAACTTCAAAGATTCTCTGAAGTATGGAAGATCAGTCCGCGGTTTGTGGAACTTTCGCAGTAGATCTACACCCTGCCCTTTCTGGTAAGTCGCAGACATTTAAGCGGGTATTGAAATCTAATCCAGCTGGGCATTCCATCGTGTACGCGATCCCATGGGAACATTCATAGAAGTTAGAGCAAGATGTCTCATGTGGGAAGTACGTGGGTTGGTCACCGTTCGTGGCGGGGCAATTAGCTGAAATAAAAAAAAATGGTCATACAGATTTTACTATGACTTCATGAGATTTCTATAATGTTCTCCAAAATGTACTGTCTCACACTGAATACTATCTTTGTTACTAGTGAAAAATGGTAGGTATAGAGAGAAAACTTTCGATAAATTACGATATATGCAAAAGTATGACGCATATATAACCAATTGGACAAAAATGTATGTTTTTAGTGCTGCAAAGAATCACTGTAAATAATTTTTACATACGTTATTCAATAACATGTGTGAATTGTTTACAAATTTGCGTATTTTTGTAGAACCACAGATAGCACTCCCTTCTGTTTTGCTTAAAAATAAAAAAATAAGAGCTTTTGAGACAAATGACCTTCACAGTACTAAAGACAATAGTTTGACTTATCGTCAGTAAAAATTTGGAAATTTTTTATCAATTAACAAAAAAAATTACAACGAGTTAAAGTGAAAGGTATCAATTTTGTAGGTAGAAAACCGTGAATTTTTCAACATTTTCATTAATGACTAAAAAATGGGATACCTAACAAAACTAACTGAAATTTTAATACACAATAAAGTAATAGTGAGGCTATATATGGTCTAAATTTCAAATTTTTTTGCCCCTACGTTTTCGTAATATCGGTTTCCAAACTTCTATTTCATTTATTTCGATAGTAAGAGAATCTTTTTTTTTGCACAACTTCATACAAAAAATATACAAAAACTTTCATGCAATATTATTTAAAAATTTGAGAAAATCAACAATTTTACGAATATAAAAATAATTACAATGTAAATGTCGAATCTTCACACAATTTGTGTTTTTGTGTGTGTGTTTAACAAAAATTAGTAAAATTCTAACACTAAGTTTAGTTGTATATTTCACTTATAGGCATCTATTTACTATTTATGAAAAAAATTGTTCTGAGGTAGGTACGCAAATTATTTTTTTCCGTCATAACAAGTGAAAACTCTAATATTAAAGGATAAAATAAAATTCAAACGAAAACTCAATGGCAATACCATTTAATTTAATTCTAGATAAGTAAGTGTTATGGAAATCTTATAGAAAAATACCCCTAATATGAGTTGTACAGGTTCTAGGTAGGTAGGTATCTAAGAATATGTGTAAGAAACAATGAATTCATTTTAATTTTTTTCATTTATAAATATTTATAATTGTGTTTAATTAAAAACAGTTGTTCGAGGACATCTTTTCATATTTATTTATGTAAAAGAAATGAATTTATTAAAATAAAACCTTTCTTGGCAAAGTTCTCTTAATATTGTTTTTTAAAATACAATTATGACAATGTTATAATTTAAAAAGTTTAAATTTTTGTGTTTTCTCTAATGAAACTCTATTTTTTCTCAAATCAGGAAAGGACAAATATATAATTTTTATTTCTGAATTTTATATAAAAAGTTGTTACAAATAAGCAATTAAATTAGTTTTTTGTTTAAATAATATTGAAAAAAATTAAAAACAATCACATAAAAACTAAAAAATATAAAATCCGTTTAGATACCTACATTTAGTTTGCGTTAATAGTATGAGTCAATTTGAGAGTTTGAAATAGAATGTATGTACAAATTAAAAAAAATAACAAAGATCTTATGAAAAATATATAAAAAATTGCAAATTATAATACTGCCCTGCAAATTTAAAAAACTCAGTGAATCTTATTATACAGATGTTCAGCATTTGCACAGAAATATGACAAATTATTTCTAAAAATACTACAAATATTTCTGTTTTCTAAGAGACGAAAAAAAAAATATTATTTATACAGGCAGCTAGGGAAGTGGGTTCCACGGAATCAATTTTTTTATATACAATATGATTTCAATAGTCGAAAACTGATGTTTCAACTGGTTTAGAGAAAATAAAAAAAAAACTTGTCAACTTTGGCAGTCTAGTTCAGTCGAGTTAAGACATTCTGTATAACATATCTGATTCGACTTTTATTTGTACTTATCGTCTATATTCCGCCAAATGAATGTTCGAACCCGGTACTCTAGAAACAGATCAAATATTTGGGGTACAAGGAGTTGTTTTATCGTTCCGTCAAATCGTTCGTTGAGTTAATCGACTTTCAGTAATGCGTTGACGAAGAGCATGACGTTAAGAAGGCTGAACATATTGCCAAAATTACAGTCGATATCTTCTTAACTTTGCGATATGAACAATCTTTTAAGATTTTACTTTTATATGACAACTTTATAGTTAATTATCACCATGTTTTTATTATAAAAGTTAAAGCTAACACATTGAAATTTAATTTTTTATCATTCCATAAAAAATAACACAGGAGGTGATTAGACAGTTTTACACGATCTAGTTATCAAAGTATTATTGGTGATATTATATTTAAAAAATCGTACTGGAATATAAATAATAATCAATAATATAAATTAATAAAAATATCTTTACTATTTTAAACATCTAGAATATAAGTCAGTTTTATTAAAAATATACGGGATGTAAATACAATTTAAACAACATGTTATATAATTAATTGAAAAAAAGTCGAAAATATAATATACTTACGTACTGCTGCCGCAAATGATATGACTAATAAAACAATTAATAAAGTGTACATTTTGCACATGTAAATATTTTCACAATACAGTGTCAGTCTTTATGATACAAGCCATTGCTACATTGCTTTATATATCTGTCATTAATCTATTCCAAAGATAAGATTTTAAGAAATGGGAAAATTGATACTGCGCTCAATTTCTTCAAACTCATCTTGCCAGCAAAGTTCAGATGCGCAGTAGCAATTTTTCATATAATGTATACCTCAGTAAAATTTATGCATAGAAGTTACCTGCGCTACTATTAAGGTCTCCTGTCTTTGTCACTTCTATTGCGGACTCTCTCTTGATCTGCGTATCTCGAGGTTAAAATCACCTAAAATCGACTTTTCGTGAAAGTATTGTTCACGGCTAGCTACTACTTTTTTCTTTCATTAAGGCAGTATTTTAATTCTACGTATAAAACGACACGTCTTTAGAGATTATTCAAGACCCATTTTTTGGCATTTGCGTAAGAATGGTGCTGCTCAGCCCGGCCATATGCCATTGACCGCAACAAGTGATAATCGGAAGGGGCAATATCTGGTGATTTAAATTTAACCGTTTCCAAGTATGTTTTCACCGATATTGCACATGTAGCTGAGCATTGTCATGCTGCAAAATCACTTTGTCGTGTATTTGTTCGTAAATCGACTTTATTTTTTCCAATGCTTGGCTTAAACGCATAAATAGTAGTCGATAGCAATCTCCGATGATGGTTTCATTCGATTTAGGCAACTCATTATAAACTATACACAGCTAATCCCACCAAATGTAGAGCAGAAGACGATGTTCGATGTCTCTCGGTTTCAATACGTACGGCACCGCATGTCCTTGTTTTTGAACCATTTTAATGCTTTCAAATGTTTCGAAACTATTGTGTGATCAACTCCTAATGATTCTGCAAGTTCAACTAGCATCTGATATGAGTCCTCATAAGGTAATGCATCCAATTGTTCATCTTCAAACTGTTTCGGTGAGCCAGAGGGTTCTTTATCTTCACACCAAAATCATTATTTCTAAAGCGTCTAAACCAATCTCTGCATGTTGTTTGTGACAGTATGGTCGCCGTAAGTCCCAACAAGAATTCTCTGAGCTTGAACTGCAGATTTCTTTTGAAAAGAGTAGTGCAGTAAAAATCCTTGCAAATGCTATTTTTTCGGCACTTTTAACACTATGAAAAAAAAGTAATTTATACATTTCGGCAAAATAACATACACTGAATATCAAGCTTACTTATAGTACTTCTTTAAATTATGGTAGCGCCATCTGTTGAAAAACAGCGACAATTTATTTAACGTCCCATTATACGGGGTGATTCACTTTTTATGATTAGGACTTTAACCATCTATAGATCTCGTCAAAATAATGTCATTTTGAGGTATTTGTACACTTTTTCTTCCAAAGACTTCCTTTTAGAGATATAAGCACTTGAAAAAACTTTTTGGTTTTTATTTAATTTTTTCTTAAACTATGAAAACCATTTATTTTATATTTAGTATGTAAGTAACGAATAAATGAAAAGCTCTATCGATTTTACAAATTATTGTGAAAATAGATCAATGCGTAGGAGGCTCTGATAACCCTTATTTTTAATATAATTTCTAAGCCACTGGAAATCTTTAAAAATGAATATATTGTTTTTACATTGCGGTTTATTCTACAGTAAAATGGTCTCCTACTATTTTTAAATTAATTGCTGGTTTTTGAGAATTTTATGGATTCATTAATTTTTTCAAAGTAATACATCTTCATCTTCATCATCTAGTGGTTGGTCCTTTAAAAGTCCCATAGCACTGCGGCCTAATTAGGCCTATTGTGCGTCCCACTACTAGTCCTATTCAGCAAGTAGATTTGTCCTTTTTACAAAGTCCAAAAGCTTCCTTGCTGACACTTCTCTCAGCTCCTTGGGTTCCAAATAGGGTCTCCCAAGGAGCGCCATTCTGCTACGTGCAAATCCCGGGCACTCGCCCAGGATATGCAGAGAAGTTTCATCCGCCGATTCACATCCTCGGCAGACCGGACTGTCTACAAGCTTTAGTCTATGTAGATGTTTCTTAAAGTGACAGTGTCCCGTTATGAGTCCTGTCACTCTCCTGAGCCGGATTCTATTCAAGCTCAGTAACTCAATCGCTCTTCCATTCGAAGGATACTCCATAAGCTCCTTGGAATGGCTATGTCCTGGCCTTGAAGTCCAGTATTTCCTATGTTCTGTCTCTGTCCATTTGCCCAGAGCCCGCCTGACCACACTGGGAGATGTGCCACAGAAGGGCTCCGGGCCAATGAACACTGTCTCGGATCCCTTCCTCGCAAGTTCATCCGCTTTCTCATTTCCACAAATGCCTTTGTGCCCTGGCACCCAACACAGTCTGACTGTATTGTTGGTGGCCAGTTCAGTTAGCATTTGTAAACAGTCCCACACCAGTTTTGAACTTACCTTGTGTGCGGCTAAAGCTTTAATTGCAGCTTGACTATCAGAGAATATATATATGAGTTTACGTCTATAACCTCTACGTACATTCTCTGCCAGACACGCCATTATTGCGAAGATTTCTGCTTGGAATACAGTAGGGAACTCCCCCAGACTGTAGCTTGCACTCCATCTGGGTCTGAGTCCATATATTCCTGCACCCGTCCCTCTGGTCATTTTGGAGCCATCTGTAAACCATACTAGGCTCCACCTTTCCAGGGTATTAAACCTTTCCTCCCACTCGCTTTGATCCTCTATTCGAGTCTCAAATGGCTTGTGGAAGTGAAACTTTGGAACCATCTTGTCGGATACCATCCCAAGAATTGGTTCCGACATAGATGTATCTTTGATCCTGGAGTGGGAACCACCCCTCCAGTCATTATTATTCCTGAGTCGATATGCTGCTAGCCGCGCTTCTCTCTCCACCACTATATGCAGCGGTGGCAGATTTAGCATGACTTCTAGTGCAGCTGTCGGGGTCGATGCCATCGCCCCCGTTATACCTAAACAGGCCAATCTCTGAATTCTATTCAGTTTTTCCTTCGCTGTGGTCTGTTGTGTTTTCTGCCACCATACCACCGCGCCGTAAAGAATCCTGGGTCTTACTATCGACGTATACAACCAGTGTGACATCTTTGGTTTCAGTCCCCAGGTTTTCCCAATAAGGCGGCGGCATACACACAGTGTCTGCTTCGCCTTACTCACCACTTTTTCCAAGTGCGCATTCCAGGTAAGCTTATTATCCAGTATCACTCCTAGATATTTTACTTCCCTGGAAAATGTAATGCCCCTCTCCCCTATTATAGGTTCAGAGAGTCCAGTTAAATTTCTTCTCCTAGTGAAGGGTACTACGACCGTTTTGTCAGGGTTTACTGACAGTGCCTGCCCCTTACACCAGTCATCTATCCATTTCAAAGCCTCTTTCATGAGTTCTGAAACGATAATATTATGTTTCCCGACTATGAGAACGACCAAGTCATCCGCATAGCCTTGTGTATAAAACCCCTTTCGATTAAGGCCCTCCAGTGCGCCGTCCACCACTAATCCCCATAACAAGGGAGACAGTACGCCTCCCTGGGGGCAGCCCCGGCCTACCTTACACCTGGATGTCTCTCCCGAAAGGGTAGCTGTTACTGTCCGGTTTCTCAACATGGTATCTATCCAACGACACAAAGTGTCTTCAAGGCCCCTGTTGCGAACTGCCGAATTAATAGATTCGAAAGGTGTATTGTCAAATGCCCCTTCAATATCTAAAAAAGCTGCCAAAGCTAGATCTTTGTCGTCCATTGCCCTCTCTATCCTAGAGACTAGGCTATGAAGGGCTGTGTCGACTGATCTGCCTGCCTGATAGGCGTATTGGTACCTGTGCAGAGGATTTGCCCTCAATACCCCGTCCCTTATATGCCTGTCAACTATTCTCTCCAACGTTTTCAGGAGGAAAGATGTTAAACTTATCGGGCGATATGCCTTTGCCTGGGCATACGATGGACGCCCTGGTTTAGGAATAAACGCCACGTTCGTCGATCTCCATGCCAGCGGTATATAACCAAGTGCAATGCTGGCTCTGAAGACGTGAATTAAGACCGGAGCTAGACAGTCCACCCCCTGCTGTAGCAGTACAGGTAGGATTCCATCGGCTCCTGGTGATTTAAATGGGTCAAAAGAACTTATTGCCCATCTTATTCGTGACTGACTCACCACCGTCTTGGCAACCTCCCAGTTCTGTCGAGACCCGGTCGTTACCCTCTGCTGGTGATTCCAGTCATATTCATCTCCATGATTTAATAACCTGGAGCCTGGAAAGTGAGTATTTAGAAGTAATTCCAATGTCTCCCTTCCAGTTTTGGTATATTCCCCACTCGGTGCTTTGAGAGACCCGAGTTTCGTATGTCCGTTCTTAGAGAGAAGTCTCTGGAGTTTAGCACACTGTGGGACACTATCAATATCCTCACAGAACTTCCTCCATGAGTCTCTCTTCGCTTTTCTAATTTCTTTATTATACTCAGTGAGGGTTGCTCTATAAGTCTCCCACTCTCCTGTCCGCTTTGCTCTATTAAATAGTTTTCTTGTCTGTCCCCTCAACTGCGTGAGTTCCTTGCTCCACCAGGGTACGGTGTGCTTATCGGACCTCACTTTGATAGGACAGCTGTATTCATATGATCTTGTGACGGCGTTTTGGAGTTCCTCCACGGCCCTCTCAAGATCATATGTGTTCCTTAGTTTTGTACAGATTTCCCTAGTCCTGGCCTGTAACTCCGTTCTATAGGAGTCCCAGTCAGTTCTTTTTGGGTCTCTGTAGGTTCTTACTTGCGGATTATAATCCGTTATAATTTCAAAGTGGATATGTCTATGATCCGACATTGACGGCTCATTCGACACATGCCACCTCGCAATATTATTACATATCGGTCCCGATCCCACTGTTATATCGATGACTTCACTTCTATTTTTTATAACAAAGGTGGGCTCGTTCCCGACATTCAAAATCTCTAGATTATAACTAAAAAGAAAATCTAGTAAAGACTCACCTCGATCGTTGACATCGCTGCTTCCCCACACCGTATGGTGTGAGTTAGCATCACATCCCACGATGAGTT